TGTTTGTCATGGGAATATCTTCTATACTATGTCACCTGGAGTATCCAGATTTGGTGTACAAGGACATCTTGAAAAGGCGGTGTGCAATAAGAAGGTCACTATGACTTCACTATGGCCTATGATTCCTAACATAAATGTACTGTTCGTTAAATATAGAATTCGTCATCGTTAGGGACTATGGGTTGTCTTGCAATACTTTGCCTTGTTTAATTCAAATGTGGCGCTATAACAATTTTAGTCAATTCTTATTTTCAATCCAAATATGGCGTCAATACCAATTCAATCAACAATGTCAAATGCAAACATTGAATCAATTCCAGTTCAATCAATACAGATGTTGCCCCCAATACCAATTCTGACAATTTTAGCATTATGTATCGCCCATTTCACGTTAAATTAAAATATTATATCATTAAACAACCAGCTAATCATGTTGTCTCCTTTCTGCCTTCCGGTAATGCCAACACTACAAAATATAAATTTAAGGCTTAACTAGGATGTCAAACATGCATAATTCTATGACAAAAGCTGTAGTCAAGTGCAGGCATTTTTGTCAGCAATACATTTATCAGGGAAATTGCACCGGATTGTATATGCTGCCTGCCACTATTAAAACACATATAACTCATAGGCATATCATCCGACCTGAAGCAGCTATAGAAAATTATTTTCAATGATATTCAAACACCATGTGTGATTCTTTATACCCTATGATGTGTTATTATGTTTCATATTAAAATTGAAGTCTCCAACATACCCTTTCCTCATGTACACACACATGGATGCACATCCTTAAATGACCTTAGCTGTTGATAGGATGTAAAACAAAATAAAATCAATTTGTCATTGTGGTACTAGGTAGTCTGTACATACCTGTTTGAATGTCACTTGCGGTTGAATAATTTCATTAAAAAATTATAAGTTTTATTCGTAACATTTATTATCCCATACCATCGAGTTGCATACAAATATATCTAGGGCGCACGAATTGTCATTTTGAAGAGTAGGTTTTCTAAAGGATGGGGCTTGTCATTTGCGTTGGATTGTCTTGAGATACTGTTTCTAGCAATCGTTCGAGCGTCAATTAGAAACAATTCGCTATTTCCATACCTTTACTGGTATTAATCACACACTTGTAACCTTAAAAGGGATCTAAAGTAAAGCTATTGGCAAAATATCAGGTATATGACCATAAATCGTTCAAAAGAACCTATTAAAATATGTTAAAATATTTGACCCCTGTGACCTTGAAAGTCGAGCAAGGTCGTTACAATGAACAAACTTTACAGATCTTCATCTCAGGATGTTACTTGCCAAATATCACTACCCCTGACCTTTTCTTTATTGAGATTAGTTCATTTAAATGTTTATACATATTTGACCAACTGTGACCTTAAATATAAAAGTGGGTCAAGGTCACTCAAATGAACAAGCTTGATAGCCCTTCATCCAAGCATGCTACTTGCCAAATATCAATATCATGGGCCTCATGTTTATTCAGAAGAACTCATTTGAAGATTTCAAACAAATTTTGACCCCTGTGACCTTAAATATAAGTCAAGGTCATTCATTTTAACAATATTGGTAGCCCTTTATCCAATCATGTTACGGGCCAAATAGCATCCTCCTGCGGCCTTTGGTTAATCAGAAGAAGTCCTTTCAAGGTTTCAAACATATAAGACCCCTTTTACCTTGAATAAAAATCAAGGTCATTCATTTTTACAAACATAGTAGCCCTTCATCCTAGCATGTTACTGGCCAACGGTCATTATCGTATGCATTATTGTTATTCAAAAGTGGTTTATAGATTTGGACATATTTGACCCCTGTGCCCTTGAATATAAGTCAATGTAATTCATTATAACAAAGTTAGTAGCCCTTTATCCAATCATGTTACAGGACAAATATCATCCTCCTGCGCCTTTAGGTTATTCAGAAGAAGTCGTTTCAAGGTGTCAAACATATTTGACCCTTCTGACCTTGAATAAACATCAAGGTCATTCATTTTTACTAACATAGTAGCCCTTCATTCAAGCATATTTCTTGCCAAAGATCATTATCCTATGCATTATGGTTATTCAGAAGAAACATATTTGACCCCTATGACCTTGAATATAGGTCAAAGCCATTCATTATTACAAACTCCGTAGCCCTTTCTCCTAGCATACCACTGGCCAAATATCAACATCATCGGCCTTCAGGTTATTCAAAAGAAGTTGTTGAAATATTTAACATATTTGACCCCTGTGACCTTGAAAATGGATAAATGTTTATTCATTAGAACAAACTTGGTAGCCCTTTATCCAAGCATACTTCTGGCCAAATCTTTAACCTTGAATATTAGTCATTAATTTGAACAAACTTGGTAGCCCTTCATCTAAGCATGTTTCTGGCTTTATATCATCTTATTTTGCATTTTGGTTATCCAGAGGAAGTCATTTAAAGATGTTACATATATTTGATCCCTATGACCTTGAATATATTTCAAGGTCATTCATTTGAACAAACTCGGAAGCCCTTCATCAAAGCATGCTTCTGGCCAAATATCATTAGCTTGGGCCTTCTGGTTGTCCACAAGAAGTCGTTTAAAGATTTTAAACATATTTGACCCCTTTGACCTTGGATTTATTTCAATGTCATTTTGAAAAATATTTGAAGCATTTCATCCCAGTATGATACTGGCCAAATATCAACACCCTAGACCTTCTGGTTATTCATAAGAATATATTTTTTTAAGTTTTAAACATATTTGACCCCCTGTGACCTTGAAAATAAATCAAGGTTAATCAATTGAACAAACTTGGTAGACCTTCATCCCTGCATTTCCCTGGTTAAATATTATAACCCGGTGCCTTCTGGTTATTCAGAAGAAGTTGTTCAAAGATTTTAACATATTTGACCCCTGTGACGTTGGAAATGGGCACAGGTCATTCATTTGAACAAACTTGGTAGCCCTCCATCCCGACATGCTACTGGCCAAATATCATGACCCCTGGCCTCTTAGTTATTCAGAAGAAGTTGTTTAAAGTAAACAGTTGACGCCGGACGGACGATAGATGGACGACGGACGGACGCCGCTACATGGCATAAGCTCACTTGGCCCTTCGGGAAAGGTGTGCTAAAAATTTAAATTGTTATTCCCTGCTTAACTTCAGCGTTAAGATGAATGGCAACTAACATGGTTCACCCGTTGCCAGTACCTGTCAACGGTTTAGAAAGTCAAGAATATTTCAGAATAAATTATAATGTTACATTTTGGAAGTGAAGAAACATATATTGTGCCTCGTATACATATATGTTGTAGTTGATCTAGTTTGAATGAAGTGAACGTTTGAACACAATTTGGTGATAACTTTGAACATTGTAACACACTCATTTTCTTACTAAGTGATATTTTTCAATATCATATTAAATATCACTTTTGCTGATTTGACCAACCAAAACACTGATTACAAACTGCCATGGAAAAAATTACAAGTGGTCCATCTGGTCAAAGACTGGTTAGCGTAATGGGCCTCGAGAAAGTCCGTCTGAGACATCAGCCCATTCTTCTGCCCAGAATAATCATTATATGGGGGGAAACACGACGTTTAATGTCACAATTAACTTTTATTTTCATTTTCCTGAACGCTAGCAGACTATGTAGGTCAGTAATTTTAACGGTTTTATCAGAGAAACTCATTTGAAATGAAACACGATGTCAGCATCTCCAAGCCCGAGTTAGGAGAACCAGGGTCTGAGTATAACCTACATAGGTGGTGTTGATATTTTATCATCAGGATAAGTGGTGATCAAACAACTCGTCTGGCTTATATTTTGACATCTTTTACGAGCGCGTATCAAAATTTGCCACACTCATAAAATGTGTTTGGTTTAGTATTTCTTAAGACACTGTTAGATATCCTCTATAGCTTTTTCAGTTTGCCAAATAACTGTTCCCTGGAAACACTTTAATCTGCATATAATATGATTATTTGGGCTCTTTTTTAATTGTTTGAAAAAAAATCAATGTATGGTAGAATAAATCTATTATAAAGGGTGATATTTGCTGACACTGGAAGGAGTTTCGTAGGTGTACATAGTTGATAAATCTTAAAACGTCTTGTATTATGTTGTTACAACTTGTCATTAACTTAAAAACGCTTCTAGAAAGGATCAATAGCATGACGCATAACAAAATTACTGAACATTGACAGGTTGAAGATATTGGTGTTTACCTAAACAAAAGACTATTGGACGGAACTATTAACTATTTGACGTGTCTTTATCCTTAGTAGGAACGTTCAGGGAAATAGGCAGGAAATAGTGGGAAAAAAACTATTTCCTGATTCATCATTCACGCATGATTACAATAGTAGGTGGTAGTTTCAATGGCGATAAGTGAAAACCTTTTTCTATTTCCGTCAAACTCCCAAAAAGAAAGTCATTTGATATCGTTTAGCTTGTTATTTGTTTATGATCTATATTTTATACTGTTTAATTTATGACTACATATTTAATAGGTAACACACTTTAGAGAAAAATACGTTGGTAAATATTGCAATATAAAAAGCGAAAATGAGGACATCAAACTAAAATTTCATTATCTTTCAATGTAACTGGCAATTCATTGTTCTTCTTAAATTTATCGTTTCCTATCTTAGTCGTCATGGAAGAATGTATGTGTATTGGTTTACGATGAAATTGTGAAATAATTAACCGACACATATTGGGCGTATTAACTAAACAGTATGTAAAATCATCGATCTGTAATGATTTGGTGTGACAAACAAGCGACCCGATTACATTGTGGGTGAATGACTCTGTGTATTCTGGGTAATACAGAACTACTTATATACATTTAATGACACGGAAATAACACCAGTTTATATCAGTTTTTAAATCACTTCTACGCGTTTACTATCTGCCCACCTGCACGGAAGGAGTCAACTAGCTGTTGTACTCAGTTCATGTTTTACGTTCACCCTTATCAGTCTTACTTAAATATTTTATCATTCTGATATCAAATATTCACTTAGAATTACGGATGTTTTCCACGCAGTCTTAAAAAACATATTTGTTTTGAATGATATAGAATATCGGGTATTGATACGGCGATGAAAACCATAGTTCAGAGTGTTCTGACATGTTAGCGTTTGTGTAATAAAACCCGTCCAGGTAAAACAAAGCCAAATTTATTCTAGATCGATAAGGCAGGTTGATATTATTGTTTGCCGAAAACTGTTTTAAATGGACAGAAAGTTTTACCCAAAGGTTATTAACCAGAAAAGGCGTCGGCCAATGAACTTGAGTATTTGATATTCGTTACTTGCAACCACGTTAATCATAATGTAAAACTAACGTTGTTAACTTGGATCATACCTATCAGCTTTATATCATATCCTTTTGGAACTATAAACACCTGCACCCCATGTGGGATGACGAAAGAGAAAACAACTTACATGTTATTCACGAAATGTAGTAATGACAAGATGGCAAATATCAATGTGTTTTCAATACTTATTCTGGGATTTGCCATTACTTGCTGTTCAGGTAAGTTACTGATTTTTACCTTTTATAGCATCTCGATGCAGGTGCGTGACATGTGTATAATTATTCACGATTTTCCTATTGATATTTTTTTGTTCTAGCCAAATCAATCTTATAATCTTGATGTGGAAGGTATACGGCGTTCAGTAAAATGTTGACGAAAAGTTTGTCGTCTATTTATGAACTGAAGTGTATGTTATATGATTTCAGTTGTTTACATTAAAATAAGTGTAGCTATCTATCGTTTAATCATCATTGTTTAACCACCTGTTCATATTGTCGTAAATATAAAAAACTAACATTTTGATTAGTTCTTATCAAGTTAATAGCATAGACAAAATTTAATCAAATCATTTAAATATGGCGTTTTATTATCCTATAGGGGAAAATACACTCAGTCAATTACCGGAACACTAGAAAAACATCTTAACTGGTGTTACACAATTAACCATATGACATATTTAATATATTACAATGTTCGTTTTAATTTGGACAATTGGATTCTACATTTGGCAGGACACATGCGATTTGTTGTAATGGGTCATGTTATGTTTCGATTTTTTACCCTGTGTGTTGACAGCATGGTATTTGCATGGTAATGTATTTAAGCAAACATCCTTCTTTTAAATGATCTGTAAACGTATAAGTATGCTGTATATGATATGACGGTCAATATGTTTTTGCTTCGATGTTAAATGAATTTAATTAAATTATATTTGATCATAGAAATCCATATTAACAACGACTCATTTTTGCATAAAAAGCAACCCAAACAAAACAGTTTTCGTTCGGTTGTCATTCGTATGTATGGATCCAAACCGACACATATATAACAAGGCAATTTGTTCATATTGATTGAAATCTATCTGTATATTTAAAAACAATAAAAATAACCAACATATATATACTTTGTGGGAACACGAAATAAATATGTTAATATCTTCTTTCATCGAACGTCGATAACAAAGGCATTATGTAACGAACAGACAAGGTCGTTTATTGTATAGCACACTTGGTATATTAAATTGGGTTGCTGATAAATACAAAGCAATTACTATTTATATTTTACCTAACATATATTTTAACAGGGAAAACAAGGACTCCGTTATAAACATATTAGAATGGCATGAAGAAATAAATGTGTGCACTGTACCTTGTTTTCTTATAAAAGTTAGTAATTTGTATATTGTTTGTACTTTTTCTGTGAAGTTTGAAGCTCGCATTTACTTTTTGGTTTCGTTTTTTTTTTGGTCACTGACTGTAGAATGCACTGTTTTACTTTTAACAAAGAAGGATACACATAAAAGGTGTAAGAATTATCTAGTATTCTGATGCAATGGAAATAAAAGACAGTGAAATAGCGATCTTTTTTTTACTGTATTATTATTTCGTTCTGTTTCAAGACTTAAATTTCTAAATTATGTCGTTGTATATCTGTTATCCTACTGATGTCGCATGCTTAATAAACTTCTGGAATTAAATGCCAGTCACCTGTTTCAGGCTTTCAAACACATCGTTTTGAGGAACTTATTATAACCTAACACATCTTTGACTATTCCTGTTAAAAACATATGGTTTAGCCTACATATTTCAATTTGTATTTGTGATCTTACTCTTGCTGAAATCAACAATTTTCCACTGACACAAAGAACTCATATGTCTGATAATAGTCGTGGGCGTTTTATGATTCTAAACAAGTTTAGTCGAACTGGAGATTGCTCTGTTAGAGCATGCATATATGTGGCTTAATGCATTAAAGTACAAACTAGGAAGTAAAGTATACCCTTACTGTAGTCATCCATTTATATGCAATAATACTAATCGAGGCGCCGTCCCTGAAAGAAGGAGTTACTAAAATAAGGGTATGCTTTACCTTCCACAACCAATGCATTAAGCAAACACATGTTTATGCTGAATGTTATTTAAATGCACTAAGACACGTTGTTTATAAGGGGGTCTAACACAGATCACAACATGTTGACTTGTTGAGAAAAAATATTCGGAAATAAGAGAGAGAAGAAAAAAGGAAAAATGCTTATAAAACGTACATGCGTGTGTATCAGGTACAGTTCTCACTTTTTCTTCTTAATCAATATCATTAAAGAATTACAGAACAAATATACAAGTTCGAACGCAAATTAAAAACAAAAGGAACTCCTCGCAATAAAATATCACACTAGACGAAAACCTTAGCGCAATATAAAACATCAAATGTGCCACTGTGAACATGTTTTACAATTTCTAAGTTGAAAAAAAATAGATATGAATATTCACTACATATAAGATACAAATATATACATTCCTGATAACAAAACATCGTAACGTCGTCAGTTTCCAATTGTATCCTGTATAATTACATTAGACATTCACATTTATTTATTTACAGGCAAAGGTGAGTAAACATACAAAACTGGTACAGTACCTATTTCGCTTTAAATGTATCTATAGTGATTCATGAATGTTGAGGTCAGAGATGAAATTCCAATAATATAAATAACAAGACTTAACCGCAAGTGTAGAAAACAGATCTCATCTAAGCGGTTTGTTAAACCCATTGCATTCAATTTACCTTACCATTTTAGTGGCAGATATGAATCAGAGATATTCAGTTTCACTTTCCGTCACGCTGTTGCGATTAAGTAATTTGTAAAACCATATCAAGCAAGTGTTTTGATTTATATTCGAAAATAAGTATGGTCTTCTGAAACACAAACTTGAAGTTATTATTATGACGATGATGCAATAGCTTTATGCATTAAAACATCTAATTCTGGTCTAGTGAACTATATTAAGGATACAAAACTATGAAAGGGATTGTCGCAAAACTATTAAGATTCAATCTTTGTGGTATGAAATAGAATCGATTACATTTTCTGTTTGATTTTTGTATGTCGAATGACATTTATAGGAATATTTAACCGAAATTTCTCACTAAAACTACTAATACATCATATATATAGAATATCATGTAGCGACAACTTTTTAAATTTCAATTCATGGATATGTTTTTTTCTTGGTGTTTTGACGTGAGGTATCCTTCGTTCTAGATTCCAATATTGCTTGGTGTGTAATTCCTAACGTTTGCTGTTTGAAGGACTGTGCGAGTTTCCGTCCACCCTGAGAGATAACTGGTACAGTGCCGATAAGGGGGTCCTTAACTTTACAACGTCCAGTCTTGTGGAGTACCCTGTATTCTTATCCAGTAACGTCAGTAATTTGACGTTCAGCTGTGAGGAAATCAACGCAAACAGATATATACTCAAGTAAGTAGTAAACATGGGAAATGTCACATCAACTCATTGCGCATGACATTGACTTGAACTTAACGATATGCGGTTTTTTTAATTCGAGGTACTTGTTGTTTATTTTCCCGAGATATCGTTATCCAGATTATACGATAAGGGTTGGACCAACGGTTAGTACAAAGACATACTTACATAATCAAATTATTGCTCAAATTATTTGATACATGTCATAGAAACTTCATAGAAAAAAGGTGTTTCCTTCACCCGCATCCCCAAACCTCAACTCCCTCTACGTTTCGCTCGCCATAGAAAAGGTTGATTGTGTATCAGGTGTGTGTTTATTTGTTCTTTCTCCGTCTAAGGTAAAAAAAATCATCTGGATCTCAAACAAGTGCATAATTAAATATACCGATGTAATTGTTTTAGAGGGATCACCACATTCACCGTGTTTGGTAACGAGCTTCGTCCCTACCTCTGCCTTACCCTGACACAGGTGTCCCAGGACGTCTTCTACTACTACGTAGCGAACCGTAAGTCTTGTTCGTTCTTGTTGTGTGTTCGTATTGCCCTCTATCATTACCTTTGACATATTATGATGCTTGTTAAACATTGATCCTTTAGGGTATTACCAACAACTGGTTAACACGTTGTTATCATAATGTGACAAGGTGGAATACCCTGCTAAGTGCATTCGACATAGTTTTGAAGTTAGATTGCACTCTAAAGTCGGCATCAGATCCGCACTACCGCAAGGAGTCAGATACACCAATAGACTTCATCCAGTGCAAATGAAGTAGATGCATACAACATCTGCTCCATATTAGTAGCCTCTTATATTCATGCTGTGAGATACGACAGATATGTAAAGGTGTGTATTCAGTAGCGGTTCATGCACATGTGGTTGCACTTATAAAAAATGAACTACACTTCATCATACAAGCTGTTGAAACAATAATGTTAAGCCATCTTCAAAATCATAATATTAAGCTTTATAGAAACAAAGTCGTACGGTATCATTATGCAATCAATACAACTTGGTAGGATTGGTGTCCATGTAAAGCAATTCAGTTTGTATTATACATATAGTGCAACGTATCCTGCAGTTATTTCATTTCCCGGGAAATGCTGCGCCACATGAAAATCTTGTATGCCTTAATTGATCATTATAGAAATTGTGTACGGTGTAATATTTCCGTATGCACGTGCTTCCTTCCTTTAAATCGAAAAAAAAAATCATTAAATGCCCACAATATCAATTATGCATTGCTACAGCTGCACGTTCTGACAGGTACCGGGAGGTCGTGGCGACATGGTGGTATTGTAACAACACGTTATAGTGACAACCTGTATAACTGTCAAGATTGATATAATATTAATAACATTTTCCGCATTTCATTAAATATGGAGACATCAAAATAAAAAGCGTCTAACTAATAAATCATTGCAGATTTAGGTCAGAACTGTTTTATATTATAATAAACAGCATTATGTTGTATAATAATTAATATTCTCGATTAATTAGAATCATGCATAAATCGTTAGCGAATTATGTCCTGAATGAAACCGTTCCAAAAATTACAATGCATTCACAAATCCCCTACGGACAGAATTCATGCCAGGGTTACCACTGATCAAGAGATATAAAGCTTACTTCCAATTTAGTCCATGGTTAAGTACGGATGCTTGAAAATAGGAACTGGAAATAACACGATGATGGGAAAACACAACAAAGGAAAACACGGCGTCGTGTTTTTTTTAGCTAGTCACATAATTTGGAGGAATATATAAAAAACAGTTAAAACGTTTTCCTATTCCTATTAAGTCATTATCTGAGGTTGTACATTAATCTTGCTCAATCCCATCAATTTTATGATTTTATGGTGTATTTTGCCAGTTATTTTTGTAAACTGTAACAGCAAATCACTTTATTTTCAAGATATATTAATTTTCGTGTGGCGACACGTTCGCGAGTTTAAATCTTTCGGTGGAAATGAATAACAGTTATAATAATTCTCGACATTGATATAGCATCCTACTAAATCGCAAATTCAAGATTTCGTAAAAAAGACACCTCATGAATGGTTCGCAAAATAAAGAAAACGCGAAAATACTGTAATTTACAGTATGTAGCATGTTGAATATACTTTCCTGTGTGTTACTTGTAGGTCTTGAGAGTTCAAACAACGACCGGATATATGTCCGAGATGACAATATCACAGTGACTGCGGACGATATATGTAACAGAGAAACACCCTACGAGGCTAACACCTACATCATGCTGGTTCGTGAAGGTAGGTCTAATCATGTGCAAAAACGAATCAAACAGGCTTCAGTCGCTAGAACTATGTTTTAACGATAACAGGTTCGTATATTGCACAGGAATTTTTCATGGAACATTAAAATTGTTATTTCTTGTTACGTTTCATAATTTTATTATGTTCCATATATTGTATGTGTTTTGAACACAGACTCTACAAAGCGCACGCGCAACATGCAGTATATTCATGAATTGATGTGCTAAAACTGAAAAATAAAGATAAAACCAGAAAGCGATGGAAGGTTTCCTTACCTACAAGAACGGCAAATAGGCGTAGGCGTTTTAATCGACTTCATTTTTATATATGCATTTGATATTTATACTTAAAAATGTGTTAAAATGTACACAAACAAAATAGTCTAGTGGTATAGGAAGCATTTTTGTGAAATTTGGTTTACAATAAGAAAACAACTGTCTGACAGTAAAAGTATCTTATTCTGATATTATATATTGGGAAATAAAAAATCAAAGTCAATATTGCCAAAAATTATGTACAAAGACATATGTGAAAACTTTCGCTCGTGGGGGTTATCGAACTTTTCTGTTGCAGAATTGACAAGAGATACAAAATGAAAATTTTGAAATTTCTATTTGCAAACACCTAACATTGATTTGAACAAAAGCAAACCTTCGATCAGAATACTGTGACAAAACGAAATGTAATCATGCATTTTTTTCTCAATTTGATCTAGGTGCTGATATTAACGAAATTTCTCGAACGTGTCCAGACATTCTACTACGACGGTACCAGAATGTGTCCATCGTGTCCAGTGACGGGACAGATAGATGTGACGATGTCCAGCTGGACGTTTGTACCAACACCAGCGTCCTGAACATAACCTACCAATCGTGTGCGGCGCCACTGGTCTTTTCTGGTCAGTATATTAAATTAATTTCCGTTTTGTAAATGAACAGATTATTTAAAGGTGTTTGACACGTCTCGACTACATAGATAAAAGATACGCTTTGAAATTGTCTTTATTGTACAACGTCAAAGTAAATTGAAAATATAAATATTTATTCTAATGTTACATAAGTATTTTTGAAATTTGGAAAATTCAGTCTTTTCGTGATGTGATTTCCCCACATTTGCAACGTTACTTCAATAAAACATGTGTTACTATTCTCGTGAGGTGTACTTTTCGCGGTCATGTATTAACGCGGCATTGGCTTATGTTTCAACCCCACGAAAAACGTTTAACAGTATAAAGAACAGATAGCATAATTCTTACTCACAGTAAATTATTAAAGGCGATACCAAATCAGATATCATTTTTATGCCCTCTACATAACATTGGGGGGGGGGGGGGGGGGGCATATAGTGTTTCCTATGTTCTTCCGGTCCCGTCGCTTCCCGTCCCATCCCGTCAAACATCAAACATTAAAACTAATTTCACATGGTGACGGGGGCATTCATGTCTTACAGACATTTTCTAGTTAATTTGATTTGTTTATCAATTATATTTAGATGTAAGTGTCTATAACTATAATCAAGAGATCAATTAGGCTAGTTTAGGAAGTGAGGCTTGACGAAACGTCTGTTAGGGTTAAGAAATTATATCATTTGAACCTGTAGAGATTCAGAGTAAGCGTTTTTATTACTTTCCAATTTTTAGTTGATTTCCATTAACCATCGGTGTTGGTAGCATTGGTGCTACTTGCATCTCATTCTGATTAAAATCATATCCTACGTTCTCTAGGTATCACGTGATACGTAGAGAACGTAGGATATGATTTTAATCAGATTGCTTGCATCTATAATGTATCTTGTCCTTGCGAGAGGGCACATTAAATAGACGTTAAACTATTGAATATGTTGCTGTTCATTTCTATATTGTTTTAACTGTAACAGCAGAGCTATCATGTGAACTGTGAATTATTGATTACATTGATGCCATGCAACCTATTAAATAATAGTGTTGTTTTACTTTCCAGCTGGTGGAGAATTCGTCTGTCTGTTTGATCTGACCGAAAATGGCGTGACGTACATAGCCCTGTGGAACACCGATGCCTCTATCACAGCTGGGCAAACCTACAGAACATCCTGTTACGTGAGATAGGCGCTAACATTCCCTTATACGTTGTTGCATCAGTCATATTTGTATCATATTTCGATTTCATGTGTGCAGTTGGTCTGTTTGTTTCACTTGTAAGCACAAATTCGCAAAAGAGTTATGCACGCGAAAGGGTTCTACAATAGTGCATGTCAAGATATTATGCGTGTTTATGTTTTTGTATCCGTATCGTTTTTAGAACGGATGTGTGTTTTTCTATGACGAGTGTCTCATGCGTATTGTCATTGGAGATAATTTCCTACGGCAGTGCAATTGGAAATGTTAGTTAGATTTGTATCGTGCATTTACGTGAGAAACAACATAAATAGTTAACTTTTCTCTGTTTATGGTTTAGGATTTGATGGTATAAAGGTGCCACAATGTTTCTACCGTATAAAAAAACATAGCGTTACTACAAACACATGGGAACAGGAAAACAATATAATGGTAGAATACCGCATGATGATGGCTTAAAATGCTTGCATTATGTACATAAACCCACTCACTTTTCATATGACCATCAGGCTATACAGGAAACAAATGGCGTCACCTTTGGAACCGAGGTCCCCGATACGTGTCACTACAACCAGACCAGTCAATATAGCCCACCAGGGGGCGTCTACATCACCATGCAGAATGTTACAGGTACATGCGGATTTTTATCAAATAAACAAACAAATCGTGCCTTGTTAATCTGACCGCTGTTGCATAGGTATGATTCAAGTTGGCTCAAAAACAGCTTTTACAAGGTATCGGGTTATTGTGACATGTTATGATACAGTTAGAGTCGATAACACAGTGTATTAACTTCTTAAAGATAAGTACATAACGTTGTTATGTCCAATGTTTTATTCGGTGCGATAACTAGTGCATACCAAAATTTGAGATAAAGTCGAGAAACCGCGATATATGTTTAAGATCTAGTAGTTCTCAACTGGTTCACCCGCTGTCAGTATAATGTGACGAAATGCTGTGCTGGGTGCCTTCGGCATGGTATTTCAGTTAGAAAGCACTATAAAGTCGGCATCAGATCCGTGCTATCACAATGAGGCAAGCACACGAACATACCCTGTCTCCTGCACACGCAAGCACGCATACACTAAAACACATGAAGGCACGACCTTAAATGACCTTAGCTGTTAATAGGACGTTAAACAAAATCAAACCAATCCAAGCTTGGCAAAACCTCACTTTTAGATTACTATTGAACGTTCTGTCCCCATGTCCATAATACCAAAGTCCTTAAAAGGGTAGTTTATATTCCCTGCTAAACATTCAGCATTTAGGGTAATCACAACTGGTTGACCCGTTATCAGTATAAAGTGACTAAATGGAATGCTGTGCGGGTGCCTTCGACATGGCATTTCAGTGAGATAGCACTATAAAGTCTGCATCAGATCCGCGCTATCTAAAGGAGGCAAAGACACCAACAAACCTTAACCCTTTCACCATTGTAGACCATAATGGACTCATCCAGATCAATGTACGGTAGAGTCTACTAAAGTTACCTAGGGGTGAAAGGGTTAACTGCCACCACCACACCTTACCACAACCACATTATGACCCACATTGAAATACGTCCGAAAATGACCTTATGTGTTGATAGGACGTGAAACAAAATAAAATCCTATCTGCTTTAATAAGATAAAGGTTTAGATTCCGTGTTCGTACTCCGTCTTCTTTCTGTCCCAAAGTGTTGTCCATGGCATATGTCCTTAACAGCTGCACAAACGGAAATACAAGTGAAGGTGTTTCGTGCCGTATACGCGCAACAAGTAATGTTAGCTCTGAAGAGCCTGTAGCGATCAATTGCTATACCGAACTCCCCGCTATTGTCTGATATGGGAGTAGGTACTAACAACTGTAACATTGCCTATCAACTGATAGGGGATTATGAACTACCCTTGAACAATTAATCCGTATAAAATGTATGAAACAGGATAATATTCGTTAAATATTATCACCTAATATAAAGACAAACGTATTTTCAAAACAGAGAACAAGACAAACACAATTATTCACCATATAAACATTAACATAGAAAGGACAGCAGTTTGGTTAATCGAAATTATTTATAATGGGATGCATGTATATTAAATCAAGGTAAGGTTAAACTGATTTTGATAGTAGATATGAACATGACCTTCATGGTAAATTTTACAGTAATACATTGTACATACAACCGCTGTGTATAGTGACACGAAAACGAACACGGATACTTGACAAATAGAACTAGGAATACCAAGACACAGTAATCGGACACATAGTCTACAGATATTGGCAATAATCAATCAACCACATATCGGATAACTTGTGTTTACCCAAACGAGATATGTCGTGTTTAAATCCATTCAGATCGTTAATAAATTCAGACACAGTCTGGTTTGGCCATTTAAACTTTCATTTCCACTTCTACACCGCTCCAAAATCTTACTACATAACAATTACTCTTTGTACAACAGACTGTAGTGTTAAACCCTTATAGGTAATTATTCGGCAGTCTTTGTGTTAGGTACATGTATTCTGAGGCAATTTAAAGATAGTTTCGATGTAAATGAGCATGGGATCTGTCAGACAAGGAGACACGGGGATGGTTAAGGCACTCGTCGAGTTTCCCAGGGAGCTGTTTATTGATGTAAAGTGTGTAACTGTCTACACTATGTGTCTACAAATTTGTTTACTGATTTAGTGTCTGTGTTTGATTTCAGAAAACTGCGGTGAGTATAAATTTAATTTATTTTTTTATTATCCACAATTTATGTCTATAGCAATAATCTTTGGCATCCCAAAAGTTATAACAAACCAAAGCAAGATTTAATATTCAAGCTTACTTTTTCTTTTACTTTTCCGTTTGTTTGGTGTCATTTCCGTTAACATATCTTTATTGCTCATTCATTGCCTATAACGACCTCTTCTGTGTTCATGAGCCGTTAAGAATGTAACAACAATGTTATAATAGAAATGACCGGTGAACTGTTTTTGTATGGTTTGTCAGTAAGTAAAATCTTGTAAATACGATGGGGAAACATTCATAATGTAATATATACATTCAGCATTGACAGCATAAATTTGTGTTTGATTAAGAACTATTCTTAGTGTAAAATAGAGTAAATGTTCATTTCATTTACATTTATAAATTTATACCACAAAATAAACCGACAGGACTAAAAAATGATTCAAATCATATAAAAGATAAAACCAGGAACTGAGGAGACATTAAACAAACAAAATAAAATATTTACCGACCAAAGAAAAAGTATCCAGAATATGTGTTGTAAACCTATTGTCAAACTGTCTTATGTTAAATAAGTTTCGTTATGAAGTGATGTTTTATATATTGTACAAAATCACTAGAAACACAAAATAACGACTCATCTAGTATGCTTTCATTTCGATTCGTAACATTATAAAAGTCACACGCTTGACAGGTCTATGATAAAGTTTGTAGCTATATTTACAGGTTTACAACTGTATGACGAATACCCTATAGACGTGTTACAATGATATACGATAGGACACAACCAGCTTTAGTCAAAACGCGATATGGTTGAACGCAAACGGGAACAGGTCGATCCTTAACAACTTTTGGACGTCTCCCAATAAGCTTACCATGACACATAAAACAACAAATAATCATAGCGATTAACAGTTAGGCGTAGTTGTCAAACGTATTGTCAGCTTAAAAGGTTTAAAAAGAATAAATCAATCTTCGATATTTCTATGAATGCTGATACTATTTATAAAAACAGTTCTTGTAGGATTTCAAACGAATTGCTAAAATAAGACGGGTGAGAAGTAGATATCTTTTATGGAATAGTTTGGAATATTGATGTTGTTAGTTAAGCTCACTATATCTGGACCAAGTTATAAATCTGCATATAAATATACATATACAGTGGACTTTCGTAAGTGTTGACGTTACTGAGTGTTGTCTCCTCATTTCTGGAAGTAAAACCATATAATTTACTTATTCAAGAGTCAAGAGTCAAGAAGCTTTATCTAACGTCGCATATACATGTAACATAATAACATCAGCACTGTAGTGCTATTCTTGCGACAAAACATATATAAAATTTAGCAATGATCACAGTACTTATGAATATATATATATATAAACAAGACAACAATTCAAATTATATATGCTAAAAATATACAGTAGAGCATATGAAATCACAGTTTATGCCAAATAATTTGATAGTGAACACTTGAATGTCACACAAGTGTTACAAAAGACAAGTTAAGACACTATCATAGTGTAATGTACATATATGCTGATGTAGCAAAGTGTAAAAATTTACAGGATATACACTACTATAGTGTGAATTAAAAAGAGACAATTAAGTCATAGATTGAAACAGAGCTATAATTATGATATTGTAAACAGTAATGATCTTTTAAATAAAGGAGCTTAAGTCTCAATGGAGCTTAATACTTTCATAGTTTCATTTTATAACTGTTATCTAGCATTATTGCCACGTGGAAAATTTAACTTGACTGTGTTACAGTACCAGTTGTTCAAACCGGTGGATCCTCTGAAGAGACCCTCGCCTTGGGAAGTATCGTCGGGGGCGTGGCAGGGGCTGTGATTCTTCTGGTGGCGATCATCGTCTGTCTGATCGGCTGTTTGTGCTGCAAGAAAACTAAGGCTACAGTCATCATAGTGAAAGAAGTGGTTAAAGTACAACATAAACCAAAAGATACAGGTAAAATATAATACCATGATTATATTTCTATGTAAGTATCGTATACAGGAACCTTACATCACTGATATCTGATATCATATAATACTCATTGAAGAAGACCAAATGGAGTTTTGTATTAGATGCATCACAAGGTGAATTCGTTTATAAAGTTATCCACATGATGAGATTCGTATTATTTATATACTTCGTTCTCCTTTATATGAATCTATGTTATATCTGTCCGCAAGTTCTACAGTATACTAAAAATTGTTTATTACTTACTATAACACCAAAAACATTAATATATATATGAAGTGAATATTAAAATACGACACATCATGGTAACTAAAGGTTATACATTTTATATCACTGTGTATCAAAATGAATACTATGTTCATTCATATTCTCGTGTCGTATTTTTCGGCAAACATAAACCAACGTTAATACCCAATGTAGATATTTTTGAACCCGTTTCGTTCAATCACATAATTTACTAGAATGGTTACACTTCTCTAATTTGCAGAGTTTATCGTAGATGTGGATGATGAGGAGGACGGCAGTGCTTACGAAAGAGACTTAACTGCCATATCATCTGCACAAATGAGCGCCTATTCATCTTACCTACCACGGTCGTCTGCCAAAAGTGATAAAACGGGAACAAGATTCCAAAAGCCGCCGTTCGGAAGTCCGCTATATAGGGATGCAGAAAGAGGAGATAATGTTGGATATAAACGGTCAAGCAAGCAGAATGGACGTCTGGTGAAAAACGGGTTATATGGCATGGAAGATGAGACCGAGATATCCTTTCCTGTTGAACAGACGTCACTTCCGGATATTCGAAAAGATGTGTATAAGAATAGCATATATGGACATCCAGATGATGGATTCGCGTTCCAGGATCTGGCAGTAGGTGCAACCGATAATTACAAGCTTCTGGTTAAGAACCTGAAGCGCGGCGACAAGAATCTGATGTCCACAGGTCCACCGGGACCAGGTCAAGTTGTACATGTGCGTTCAAGTCCCGGGAAAAGACAGAAAACTATTCGAAACAAAAGCAATAGTCCTACGGGTAGACAACGATTTCGTGGTTCAGAAAACAAAACAGTTAATCACAATCCCCCTTACAATGAAAATCATAATGTACACGATCGGTTTGTTTGGAGTAATGAGGATGACGAGGAAAATGTCCACGACCCCGATTTCACGGGATCAGACATTTGCTATGGTGGACGCCCGACTGGACCAAATATTTGGTACGGTACAACGCAGGTTGAGAATAATACAAGACCGCCTAGGCGTAATGCTTCCGTTCACAGAACAAGATCATTTGGAAGCAGTTCAAATAAAACGGTACAGAGTCAACAAAATGCCCCTAGCACTAGTGATAAGGGTTCCGGGGTCAACAGTCCGTCCCCGCCTACAAATAGTAACAAAATGTCGAGAAAACAATCGATCGACAAGGAATATCTTAGAGACAACAGTTCTGCCACTAAAGAAACACACCTTGTAGACACAAGTACAAATACGGACAATACTAAGGAACGAACTATTACACCTAAGACCGTAAAAGCTGGTGTATCTATTGGCATCCAAACTGAAGTAGAAAATACGTCAGTCTCTAATGTCAGTAGAAAAGGTTCTCCGATCCCAGCAAGGAACTTAGATCCCTGGAGACATCCTTTACTGAACTATGAATTTTACGGAAGCACTGACATGAAGAAATCTACTTCAGTCCCAACTGTGATATCTGGCTACGAGATGGCCAAGTATAACCCCCCTAACATTGAGTCCAGTAAACACCATGACAGGATGGTCAGGCGGTTAGGCTTGACCAGTAACGACATGGTATGGTGTATCGAACCAAACTCGAGAGTTCCAAAGAGGAGTGCGACTTATAATCTAGGCTCTAATATAAACAGAAACAATTCACACCAATTAGGTCGTAGACAATCTCGCAGTAGAATCGTTACTCCGTGGAAATGAAGGATGTGCATACTTTGAGTTGAGCTTCATGACATTGTAGCCAAGTTTTGTACTTTTCATAATTTTATTGTAAAAAGCGATACTGGTCATGTAACAGGTAACCGGGTATTTGCAAACACAAGAGTATTCTTATATGTTCAGCATTTATTTTTTTAAGTTTAGAAATTTATAAAAAAAAAAATGGTCATGAAAAATAATTTTATTAATTTGTCAATACGCTTAATCAAACACCATTAAAATGTGTATATGGTCAAGTTGTGCTAAGACTTGCGAAGATGAATTTTGAAAAGTGTATACCCAGCTTTGCCTGTCTCCAGCCTAATTGGCATAATCATACATAAAGTTAAAATTAGCACCCATTTTTCAAAATATGTTATTTGAAAATGTGATTCAAAAGGATACGCTAGCATTGCAATAATGTGTCTCATAAGAAAAAATATCGGTCTTGAAAGTAAGAACTAAGGGATTCCTTACACTCAAACTTAACTGGAAAAGATTCCAGATTTTCTGTCAATATCGATCTTAAATACTTAGGTAGCTTGCAATTGTATACCACAAGTGTGCACGTTATGGTAATCTTTTAGTGCAGTCATATGCATCATATAGAAGATTTGTACATATTTTTTACTCTTTTTAGAAATCAATAGTTGAAGTGGTTGTTGTGTATTCGGTACACGTGTACCTTAAAACTAGAGGTAATTTTAAGGAAAACGTGTATTTCCAGTAGAAAATCAATAACAGTTTAAAAGGTAGCAGTTTTTGCACTTTCACTATAAATTAGCTTGTTCCAGTTTAACAGGGGGAAAATGTACAAAATATGGGAAATATTCTGTTTAAATGCAACATCAGTAACCCATAAAATATGAAGAATAATGATAAAATTATTTATATAACTTTTCTCATATGGTAATACTTTGCTTAATATTTCTGTAAATGTCGAGTAATTTGTGCTACAAAGAGAAGACAAAGAGAAGCAAAACAAGTAACGTTTACAGTGGCAACAGTAACAATCTTAAGGATCCCTATCCCACTGCAGGCAAAACAAGTAACGCTTACAGTGGCAACAGTAACAATCTTTAGGATCCCTGTCCCACTGCATGCAAAACAAGTAACGTTTACAGTGGCAACAGTAACAATCTTAAGGATCCCTGTCCTACTCCAGGCAAAACCTGTAACGTTTACAGTGGCAACAGTAACAATCTTAAGGATCCCTGTCCCACTGCAGGCAAAACAAGTAACGTTTACAGTGGCAACAGTAACAATCTTTAGGATCCCTGTCCCACTGCATGCAAAACAACAGAAACATCTGAGTTTCGTTTTTGATATAACTGTACCACGACTAGGCCCCGATATGTGTTTACCAGTTCAGTTAATTAGCGCGACAGTATAAAATCGATGACCTGTGTTCGATTCCTGATCTGATTCATTGCATATTTCCACGCAGAACACTGTTGTAGGTTCCTCTTTGTTAATTGCATCTTATCTATTCATATCATTTCTGCAGTGTATGGTTTTCTCTTCAAAAATGATTTATGAAAGCTATTCATGTACCCATACAGGGAAAAATCCAATATACTTACAGTTTTAGCAGCGGTGCAGAGATCCTTAACGAATAACGGCCATGAAATGAGTAAGACACTAATATCGTCATCAATATAAGTGATTCAATAACATACGACAGCTCAACACAAGGCGCCAATATTTTAGCATGTATTATTGGTTGTATCTGATCTAGACAGTGACCCTTCCTGTCAAAATCGTAATTGATTAGTCTACATTTCTTAGTTATGAAATGATTAATGTAAACTAATAATCAATAGGTGCACACAGTATAATTACGTACAACGAAATGGTGTTTGTTATGTTTACATGATTTGATTGATACAACTTTATACCTTAAATAGTACCAGGTTGGGGCATACCCTCTGGGGGCACAACCTTCATGCATACAACGTTGAGACACTTGAGACCAGTTATTCTCCATACCAACTTGGTCAAAATCCATTCAACTATTCTAGACTAGTAGGCTTTGAAGTAAAACGTGAACAGACGATCAATGAGTGTTGCCTTCCGGCCTTAGATCACTTGACATTTGGACAGGCGAGTGTGGGCTAATAACATTCGATTTAGACATAGCACCCAAAAGTGCAGAACACTGAATGTATGTTTAGTTTTCTGATTTCCAAATTGTTTTTTTTTTGTAATTGCAAACAAGATATCAAAGAGAGGAAGAATATATTATCAAACATATAAAAGCCAATCTGTGTCATACAACTTTTTAAGTTTTATTTAAAATGTCATAATTTAATAATCATCAGGTCATCATCAACATAATGTGAGTGGTATGAAGAAACATAAATATGATATTTAATCAAAATAAACACATACAACAGGCACTTACTCATTGGTTTTAAAAACTCATCATCTTTACAAATGATTGCAATGAAAAAGCTAGGAAAACATTACCACACAAGGTGTATCACATCACTAGGATGAAATAAAATATAATAAAACCTGAATGTTTATTTTACTATATAATCTCCATAAGGTTGTATGGCACCATCTCACACTTCATTTGTATGTTAATTTGCCTACTTTTATGTAAAACAATTTCAATTTCACCAAGTGTTCATTTTCAAATTGGTGTTCATGTTGCAAAATCAAATTTATGCATTGAATTAGCAGGACATTTCAAGTCATTATATTTTACGTATGACTTGTTTACACATTTCCTTAAATTTATATTATACATTATTTTTCAATCCAATTCCTGTTTATGGCATTGTACATTTGCAGATTTTCTTTGAAAAAAATGGAAATTATACTGCCCTAAAATGTACTGTATACAAATTTCACCTAAACCATCTTTTCTGTATGACATCTTTTCAAGATGGCCTATAGAAAAACACAGAGTATGCTAGGAAAATATGAAGTTTCCAATCAAAATGTTCTATACATGCAAGTGTTTAGCCCTTTCAACACTGAAGACCAAAATACACTCATCCAGATCAATGCATGGAAGAATCTACTAAAGTAGCATAGGGCTAAATGTTAAACTCAAGCTTTATACATACAATTTGTACTGTATTCAATACACAGTAAATTTATGTGCTTGACATTCAGTTATGATAAATTGCAGATGACAATATCTTGCTTTTCATGGTTCAAATAAGAATATTTACACAATGGAAAGAGTTTTATTGAATATAACCATCCGCTTGCTGCCTTTTAGCAGATGTAGATAACAAAAGTGTACTTTGGTAAATATTTCTTCAATTGTATTTCAAAATGATTCATATCACAACTAGTTTAAATTAGATGGAATGTGAAGGAATGGCTTTGTGGTGCATCTACCACGTTGTTCAAGTCGGTCAAATCTGTAAATGTGCATTATTTGCATGAAGTTTGAGGATCCTAACAAGGAAAGAATAAATGAAAATACTCACCAGAAATATTGATTTCCTGACCGTGTTCAGATGCCAACATTATACAATAAATCATCTTCGATACTCCAGTGGTTATGCTCACATGCTGTCTCTAAAACCCCGGGATATGTCATGACAAAATTGAACGCTCTGTCAGCAACATCTTGTGGACAATTCTAGTATACTTGTCCGATCCTTTCATCAAGAAATTGTACAGCAGCATAAAGGTAAAATAAACCAACGTTTAAGTTGGGTGTCGTAACTCAGTAGTCTTCAAAGGACAGGTATCAGCCGCGAAATTGGTCATTTTTTTATACCAGAGACATATCAAATAGCTCTCTTTATGCCTTCAAATTTGCCATGATGTATTCCAGGGGTGCAGAGAACGAAAGTGAGCGCAACACCTGGAGTATTGAGAATGATGAAGCATGTGCTTTTCTAAACTGCCTACCCTAGTTGTAACCAAATATCAAAAATGAAGTTTGAAGTTCTTCCTGAAATGGTTTAGACAAACACTTTGATACACATATACTCATGCATGTGTGGCAGTTTTTGATTAATAGAACATATGATTACGGTAGCCTTCTAGCTTCCAGCTAGAGGGAATTCTCCTTTAGCTCATCGGTAGAGTGTCTGACTACGAATCTAGGGAGCATGAGTTTGATACCCGGTGGAAGCACACTTTCCTGTTACACATGAATATTTACAGCTTGGTCAAGCATTTGTATTATAACAAGCTTTTTATTTAATATTTGGCATAACATTTCTTTATATACAATACATTAAGGCATTATAAATCAGTACTGAAACACTTATTCCGTCTTTGCGTAATGCAGAGTTATCTTCTCTTGTGAGCAGGTATTGATTGATACGTCATTTGTTTGTGAGAGAAACGTCATCAATTTTTGAGAAAACGACGTAATTTTCTCACACAAACCAATGACGTAACAACCAATACCTGCTCACAATAGAAGATAACTCTGCAATACGTAAAGACGGAATACAACCTCCTTAGTTAACGATATGCTAATCCTTACATTAAAATCGTTAAAAAACATGCAGCTCTTGTATTCAAGAAAATATCATCTATTCAAACTTCACATTTAAAAGTTCATTGACAATTTGCAGGGCAAGATATTTTCCAGTTAAATTTTTTGGGGAAAAAAACCAGTCCAGTTTGTCGGTTTTAGTGTACATGATTTAAAATAAACAATCTCCTTTGAAGGATATTAAGGTAAAGTTACATCAATGCAAAACCTTTAAAACAGCCGTTCATTACAAAAATTTTGTTACAGTGCTTTATAGCAAAGAATTGCCTCCAGTTTAAACATTCCTGCTTTTTTAAGGAATCTTGAGCAAACGACATTACTTTTCCAGGATAACCCTTTCACCAGAACATTTGAAGCACTGGTTTCAATTCCAGCAGTTTTCAGTTGCGGTATGAACCAGGTTCAAATTATGAAGCTTACAATCCTACCTGGATCAGTTAGTTCTACTGATAACATTGTGCAGCCTTTGAAGGTTTGCTATTAGAAATCTAAATTCTTATCCCTACCCACTTTTAACATTGTATTATGTCCACGGTGTTTTATATGTTAAATCTGCATACTATTCAGAGGTGAACTTTTGTTTATCAAAATATGCACGCATGTTCAAATTGCCAGAGGATTCTTGTGAACATATAAATTTGAAAGAAAGACTCAATTTTTATACAGCAGTGGCTTTCTAAAATTTTTGATTCAGCAGTATTAAAGCAGAAATTTGCACCTATTAAAATCAAATATATATATAAAAAAAATAAAAAATATATATTAACATTGAAGAATGAAAATGGAAGATCGCCATTTATATTTCTATCTTTTTTAATCTTGAATGGAATCAAGCCTTCATCTATAATTTAAAAAAAAATGTTTATAACTGTCAATAGTTTCAATTAACAGTGTCTACAGGCAATTTCAGTTCAATAAATGAATAACAGGCTTAGACTTCAAATCTTAACCTGAATATGAAATTTTACCCGAGTTACTAACCTTAAGCATGAACCTTTACCCCAAAGCACGAACTTGACAAAAAGAATTGATAGGATCACTGTAGAACAAGTAGTTCATATTAATTATTAAAATACTGATTTTTTTGTTGAGAGAAATAAAAAATCCTTAATATCTTAAATTGGTCTGAAATTATTTTCATTTATTTTACAACTGATATCTATAGTATTAATACTGCAATAAGTCCAGGGCCATCACAAAACTTCTTATTAAGAGTAAGGGGTGGGCTTATTACAGGACAATAAAATAGAATTTGTGGACATTTCTATTGAACTGCAAAATGTATGGACAAACTTATAATCAGGTATGGGCTTATTACCTTAAATTGTAATTCCATTCGTGAAACTCAATATGTCTAGATCTGTGAGTATTTCTAAAATACCTTGATGACATTTAATTCACATTTTCAAAAACTAGTTTTCAGCTATCATTTCTACCTTTAAATTTCTTTGATTTCAACTTTTTCTTCTTTATATCTCTTGATTTTAATTTCCCATCTATGAAATCTTTTATGTCTTCGGTCGTTTCCTTACAAAATGATTTCACTTTTTGCCATGTTGGGTCTCCATACATATTCCAAGGTGGTATGACATATGTGCTCCAATAGGGGCTTCCATACTTGTCCCATGCAGGTTTTACATGTTCGCTGTAGAGTGGGTTAGCTTCAATTTCCTTCTGGTAAATATTAACGGCGCCGACCAACAGAGCTGTGATCATAGCGAACAGTGCCATCCACAAAAACCACGAGCAGCATCCACCGCCTGCAATTAAAACACAAAATTACAGTGGATTAGTATAGTGGAGATATAATTTACCGATGCACAGATAAATATGTACGCAAACTCACAACAGATTCCAGGGGGGCTTAGGAAAAAAGGTCACTAGGGATAAAGTTTGCTAAAGCATTCCACGTTCATGAGAATATTACTTAACAGTGGAAAAAATGATACCTTTATTTTCAGCAATGATGTACAACAAAATATTTTGTGTTTCCAGAAACCTTACCACCAAAAATGTTTGTGTCTATCCTAAACTTTTGAAGGCAATTTTCAAAGAAGCACTGTTTAAGTCAAGAACACTCTCCTATATAAACAGTGGTTTTGCTACCTTAATTTTACAACAGCCTGTTTCTTTATGAATTGGAAAAATATAGGATTATTTGCATTGAAATTGGAAATATATTCTTCAGTTTTTGGTCATTTTGTGAAAATAAGGCACTTTTAAGCTAGGGGAAACAGCCTGTATTCGACAGTAAATTGAGTAAACAAAATCCCTGATTAACCATATAAAATTATTTGAAAAAAGAAATTTATTACCTAAACTTTTCCAACATGTTTATGCAGACTTCAACCGGTTTGTCTATTTTCGAATGTACTATTTCAGTGCATGGAAATCTTTACTAAAGCTCACCAAAAAGCAACATCAGAACAATATGTCCATCTATTCATAAATGAAACAGTCTGGTCCAACTTTTTGGAACATGATAAAAGGAAGTGGTTCAGGTGATGTTCACTGCATTAACATATCTTGATCTTTAATTAAATGACAAAGAGGCTTGCTATTGGTGTATTGTGATACCTTGTATATAAAATGTTGCAAATTACCATAACGTATCATTAGACTTCTCAGGAATTCTTCTCATGGCTTTATATAAACTGGTACAAGTTATAATCTAAGGGAAGTAACTCTACCTTTTTTATGAGACTGTCTTTGCTGCTGTGTTCCATTCATTTCAACTTCTTCAACTGAAAACCAATTACAGAATTATGAATTTATACCAAATAGACAAAATTATGTAATGACATTCATCAATTTTTTGCCTAGTCATCTAGACTAAAATCTTTTACTCGCATATTAAACTGTTATGAATGTAGATCAACTCTGATGTGTTTATTTTTATATATTGGAACTAGACGCCTTCTACACAAGATTTCTGTCATGTGTTTAGTTTATCCAATTACCTTCTTCCTCTTCTTCCTCAAATCTGTGTGCCTCCTGCTGTTGGTGGTTCATCTGCTGTCGTTGTTCCTGTTGCTGTCGTTGACGTTCTGCCTTTGCTTGTTTACGTTTGTCTCGTTTTAACTGCATCTCCTCTTCCTCCAATGCTTTCTCGGCTGCATCTTTCTCTGTTGGTAAAAGATCAATCTACTCATACCGTGTTCTGTAGTAAAAATGCTTTTTTGATTCAATTTTTATTTTTTTTATGATGATCAATTATAATCGAAAATCGATCAGTTTGTCCTTTCCGATTTCGATTATCAATTACAAATTCCATAATCTATTTAATTGGTTCATCGTTGAAATCAAAGTGTTAAATGTTTTAAGTGTGTAATATGCATTGAAATTCATATATTCTTATGATTTTTACTATATGATTGATAAAACTGCATAAGTGTTGCTTGGAATTCAATCAATGTATAGTTAACAACTCTGTCTATTGATGTTATGGTAGTGTATAGTTAACAACTCTGTCTATTGCTGTTATAGTAGTGTACAGTTAACAACTCAGTATATTGATGTTATGGTAGTGTATAGTTAACAACTCTGTCTATTGAAGTTATGGTAGTGTATAGTTAACAATTCAGTCTATTGATGGTATGGTAGTGTATAGTTAACAACTCTGTCTATTGCTGTTATAGTAGTGTATAGTTAACAACTCTGTATATTGACGTTATGTTAGTGTATAGTTAACAACTCTGTCTATTGATGTAACAGTAGTGTATAGTTAACAACTCTGTCGATTGATGTTATGGTAGTGTATAGTTAACAACTCAGTCTATTGATGTTATGGTAGTGTATATTTAACAACTCTGTCTATTGATGTTATGGTAGTGTATAGTTACCAACTCTGTCTATTGACGTTATGGTAGTGTATAGTTAACAACTCTGTCTATTGACGTTATGGTAGTGTATAGTTAACAATTCAGTCTATTGATGGTATGGTAGTGTATAGTTAACAACTCTGTCTATTGATGTTATGGAAGTGTATAGTTAACAATTCAGTCTATTGATGTTATGGTAGTGTATAGTTAACAATTCTGTCTATTGATTTTATGGTAGTGTATATTTAACAACTCTGTCTATTGATGGTATGGTAGTGTATAGTTAACAACTCTGTCTATTGACGTTATGGTAGTGTATAGTTAACAATTCAGTCTATTGATGGTATGGTAGTGTATAGTTAACAACTCTGTCTATTGACGTTATGGTAGTGTATAGTTAACAACTCTGACTATTGATGTTATGGTAGTGTATAGTTAACAACTCTGTCTATTGCTGTTATGGTAGTGTATAGTTAACAACTCTGTCTATTGCTGTTATAGTAGTGTACAGTTAACAACTCTGTCTATTTCTGTTATGGTAGTGTATAGTTAACAACTCTGTCTATTGATGTAACAGTAGTGTATAGTTAACAACTCTGTCTATTGATGTAACAGTAGTGTATAGTTAACATCTCTGTCTATTGATGTTATGGTAGTGTATAGTTAACAATTAAGTCTATTGATGTTATGGACTAGTATAGTTAACAACTCTGTCTATTGATGTTATGGTATTGTATAGTTAACAACTCTGTCTATTGACGTTATGGTAGTGTATAGTTAACAACTCTGTCTATTGCTGTTATAGTAGTGTACAGTTAACAACTCTGTCTATTTCTGTTATGGTAGTGTATAGTTAACAACTCTGTCTATTGATGGTATGGTAGTGTATAGTTAACAACTCTGTCTATTGCTGTTATAGTAGTGTATAGTTAACAACTCAGTCTATTGATGTTATGGTAGTGTATATTTAACAACTCTGTCTATTGATGTTATGGTAGTGTATATTTAACAACTCTGTCTATTGATGTTATGGTAGTGTATATTTAACAATTCTGTCTATTGACGTTATGGTAGTGTATAGTTAACAATTCAGTCTATTGATGTTATGGTAGTGTATAGTTAACATCTCTGTCTATTGCTGTTATGGTAGTGTATATTCAACAATTCTGTCTATTGATGTTTTGGTAGTGTATATTTAACAACTCTGTCTATTGATGTTATGGTAGTGTATAGTTAACAATTCAGTCTATTGATGTTATGGACTAGTATAGTTAACAACTCTGTCTATTGATGTTATGGTAGTGTATAGGTAACAATTCTGTCTATTAATGTTATTGTAGTGTATAGTTAACAACTCAGTCTATTGATGTTATGGTAGCGTATAGTTAACAACTCTTTCTATTGCTGTTATAGTAGTGCATAGTTAACAATTCAGTCTATAGATGTTATGGTAGTGTATAATTAACAACTCTGTCTATTAATGTAATGGTAGTGTATAGTTATCAATTCAGTCTATTGATGTTATGGTAGGGTATAGTTAACAACTCTTTCTATTGCTGTTATAGTAGTGTAAAGTTAACAACTCTGTCTAGTTCTGTTATGGTAGTGTATAGTTATCAATTCAGTCTATTGATGTTATGGTAGTGTATAGTTAACAATTCTGTCTATTAATGTTATGGTAGTGTATAGTTAACAACTCTTTCTATTGATGTCATAGCAGTGTTCTCACTTTGTTTGGGTATTCTATCCCATAAAATATAAACCAATTATGCAATTGATCACTGATTGGTTTACTGCTTCCAATACAGATTGCCCATTACTAATCTAAACAAATTCTATATACTTAAGGAACTTTTATAGTAAATTAATCAACTACCACAGATTTGATACACTGCTATAGTGCCCTGTTGACAATATATATGGTGGCATAGACTTATATACACCTTACAGTAAGGTAGGAATAAACTAACAATAGAGCTCTTTTGACAGAATTACGTAGGAAACAGATAAAAAGAAGACTGGAATACCTTTTTAATACTTCATAAAAATCCAACATACCTCGTTGGAGGGTAAGTTTTCTCTGTTTCTCCCTCTCCACTGCAGAATTGATGCCTTTCATGTAGTCCAAGACCTGAATAACAGGAAGCAACAGAAACTATATACAGAGTTCATTTTCAGGAAAAATTAAGAGTAACTGCAATGTTATTTATCTAATAAAAAGATGAAAAAGATTAAATCAAAGTGGAAGGGGACTTTAACAACTATAAACAGTAAAACCTAAATATAATGCTCTTCGCTACGTCACAGACGCTAAATGTTTCAAAATCGATTCCTCTTGTCCTCACCGTTTCTTTATATTTGTTCCTCAATATAAAGACACGTTTTTTTCATAATTCTGAAATGTTTGATGGACTAATGGTGCCAATATATTGAGGTTTTTAATATCTTGGACAAAGAATTTTGAAGCTAGTAAAGGATCATGGAATAGCATGCTGCTAAACCATCCTCTGTAGAACACTAGAACTGATGTCGAACACAAAGAATCAACACATTTCAGGATTGAGTCTTGCTTTTGTCAATACCATGGGGTGGTGAATCGAGTTGAAACAAGTTTAATGAACTGTGATGACCAACTGAATTTATCACCACCATGAGACATACCGTGTACCAAGACAATATTCAATCTTTATATTTCAATTAACACAAAACACAAAAGAATACTGACAATATGATATGTCTATATTGCTTATTTCCAAATATACATCAAAAACGTTTTACCGATGCTGCGGATTAATACCACCTAAAACGTGTGAAACTGGACAAAAATTCATACACATAGGTACTGTTATCTGGTCAATTTCATGGGAAAAGCAAATGAAAGAAACAACATTTGTTAGTTCCATTAAGTATAAATTGAAATATTTACATTTGAAAGGTTCACATTTTAAAAATACATTCATTAAATAACATGCTGGTACTCTTGAATTATTAAATAGAACTAGTGTAAAAACATATAAGGGAGATCATATTGAACACTATCACTTATGAAATATATTTAAACAATAACTGGTTGTCTGGATGTAATTATTGTTTATATAATTACAAGTGGCCTCTGGCTAGGGTTTTATGGTAGATTTGCCAGAGGCCACTTGTAATTATATCAACAATAATTACATCCAGACAACCAGGTATTTTTTATATTTACATATTTTTCTTTTTTAAGACATATTCCTACAAAAACAATTTGCCCTGCCTCAAAATACATTTCAGGTGGCCATTTTGTTTGTTTACATATTCCTACACCTGAAACAGGCAGTTGTAATTATAGTCGAGCAGTTGTAATTATAGCCTATATAATTACACTTGCCCTCTAACACTGTTGTAATGGGACGGCGCGGGGGCAAATGTAAATATAAGGCAGTACATCCATACCGCTTCATATAAACCTTACCCTTTGAGCACATTTTTTACATTGTGCTTCATCCAGACAGTCACCAGCAACTTTCTTGAGATCCTCCTTTAGCGGATTGTCCTTGAGATCCAGCCATTTGAGTTTACGTAGCTGGAAGAAGCTTATAGGGAGGATAGAAAGCTGGTTGCCAAGGAGATCTAAGTGCTGAAGATTCTGTAGCAGACCAAACTGGTGAGGCAGTTCCCCAAGCTGGTTTTTACTCAAGTCAATCTTTACCAGGTGTGAAAGGCTACAGAATGCATCCTACAGCAGAAGACACAAAATATGCATTAATATTTCTAATATTAATTAATTTATTTCATTTATAATTATACTTGTACATTGTATCCACCACAAATACACAAACTTCACAACATCAACTTTGCCACAAATTCAAACAAAGGAAATATTTACACAAAGTTTGAATAAAAGAAACAAACTAACTGCAAGGGTCGTTACGGCCTTACAAGACAAGTCATATGAACTTCGCAACGTCAACTTTGACAGATTTAAAAAAAGGCAACGTTCACAGAAATTTTGAATAAAAGAAACAAACTTACTGGAAGGATTGTTATGGCATTACAAGACAAGTCCAATCGAGTGGCTTTCGGTAAGGCTGCCTGGAAAATACAAATACACAATTAATATGATATCTGAAGGAGAATTATACATTTTTAACATGAAATTAAAGAAAAGAAATTTGCCTTACTAATGATATTTGCAATATAAATTATAATAAGCCTGATGTTAATGAAGACACTGATCACTAAAAGTCACTTGACTTACATGCTTTGTCTGTGTGCAATTTGATTGTTTATCTTACAAGTAAGAATTAGATTCTGTAATTCACTGTAATTCACTTGTACTAATTTTCAATTTATCTTTTTTTTCCCTGTATATTTTACCCCACATCTGACCTCATTTGAAAAATACTTTTTTGTACAGTGTAATACCATGTCTATAAACCTTACAATTTAGAATCTTGCTTATATCTTCTCCACTGATACCCCCTGCTTTGCAATTTGAGTGCCTGTGCTTTAATATTCCAATATGAAAATTACTTTACCCTGTATTAAATTGTAAGTTCTCACTTCCAACAATTCATGTCACGTAATTTTGTTTCTCAATGTTTGAGTCCTTCAAGACTGGTCTTTTTGTACATTTGCATAAACTCAATAAGCTCCCCAACCCTACACATCCATCCAGCAGCACCATATACCAGCAGGAATATGCACTGCAGAACAGATAGGTTAATGTTCTCAATTTCTGCTGGACTCAACTATCTTTGGCTACCACTGTGTGTTTAATACCTAAGCTGACGTTATTTTCCAATACATGAGCCATTAATAGATCTCCTCTTCATTGGACTCAAATTTATACTTTTATAGTAATATCTATATGAAATAGTTTACAACTATCATGTAATAGTTATTAGTTAAGTAGTTAATATTAAAATAAGTAGTAAAATATTCCACAAGATTATCTGAGCAGGAATGCTTGTACATGTAGCAAGATGCATTCAATTTACAAGGATGATCAAACCAATATTTGTTGAGTCTGTGTTTAAAACTATTTACACTTGGGGCATTTACTACCTGATTTCACAACCTACACCGAGTATTTCAGGCATCCACGACCCTGTTTCTATAGCTGTAGCTAAATGATTGTATAATTTTTAAGTTCAAAGTTATACATGCTGCTTCTGAGTCCTTCTGGGGTCAAAGACTTAACACCTCAACTCCCCTACATGTTGTATATATATCTAAATCTCACACCTTAGCAAATATCATATCACACTTGCTATATACAGTATATGCTGCTTACATCCTAAACCTCCCACCATTACTTTTAGGCAGTTTATCGATGTATTATCACATGAACAATCACCAGCTTCCTTATTAGGCAGGTTGGGCACAACGGCGCATATGGGTAATAAACTAATAATCCTGCATTTGGGTAACAGTTACCCATTTGCAGTAACAATTTTATTACTCAGATGGGGAATATGGTGAAATAATACACAAAAAGTTCTTTAAAAACACCTGGAGCAAAAAAGGACATCATTCTTTCAACATTAATCCGATAAAAAAATACAATGAGGTACATTTGTGCACACAAATATGTTAATTCAGTTGTCTAAATGTTCGTGATAATGACAAATTGTATCACCTCCATTGCTTATAGTGTTCTGTAGAGCAGCTATAAATAGCACACAGAAACAATCATGCTCACCTGTCACATTTGCACTGTATGATCCCATTGACTAAACACTGAAGTCAATAGAGAGCAAAGTCAGTGATATGGTTTGTCACTTTTACAAAATGTTAGACATCAGAATTGATAAGTTTTTGTGAACAATTGTACTTCATTGTGAAATATATTGGATCTAGTTATATATCAGTTCACCGGTCAGTATTAAGCTATAAGCTTCTGGACCTCCTTGATTTTTGTCTCCATGATCCTATGGAGCTCCTTAATTTCTTTTACTCAAGATTTATTTATATTCTTGATTTCATGTCCTATATGATGCACCTCATAAGTGCCTGCTGTATTCAACAGTAATTTATGTACAATATATATATAGTTCCTGGGTGACTTAGTAGCAACTTGGGTTGAACTTTGCTTCAAGATCCTTCCAATGATGGTTCAAAGTAGATTTAAAGTCTTTCAATGTGCCTGCGTTCACAAAACTTTCTGGCAAGCTATTCCAGTCATCTATAACTCAGATAGAAAAGAAATGTTTTCTGATATTCAGTCTTACACGTTGTTTTTTAATTTCTTATTGTGGCCCCTTGTTCTGGTCTCTTTTGATGGTTTTATCATTTTCCGACCTTTTTGGCTAAGATTGTCTATGTTAGTCATTAGCCTATACATTTCGATAACATCACTCCTTTTCCTTTCTGTACTCCAATGTTGAAAGACCAAGAATCAATAGCCCTCTTTCTCTGTATGTTTGTTCTTTTAGCCCATTCACCAGTTCTGTTGCACGTCTCTGTACTCCTTCTATAGCTTGTATATCCTTTAAAAGCGCTGTAATGGCATACTCAAGCTGTGGTCGATACTATTCCTGGTAGGTCATTTATGTATATCAAAAACAAAACCGGACCGAGGACATTTCATCGAGGGACATTACTTGACCTTGACCCAGTTTGAGGCTGATCTATTTAGGAGTACTCTTTGTTTTCTATCCTACAAAAATGAACATATCCAAGCAAGTATATCCTCCGTCCCAATGCTATTCACCTTTTTTAGAAGTCTGGTATGAGGCACACTGTCGAATGCCTTTTGGAAATCCAAATAAATGACACCCATGACATTTCCTTTGTCTAATTCTTCTGTGATGTCATCCAGAACTTCTAGTAGATGAAGGGCGGTAGATTTTCCTTTTTATATGAATCCAAACAGTGTATTGCTAATTATGTTGTTTCCTGTAAGATGTTTCATAATGTGGTCCTTTAGAATGGATTCCACTATTTTATAACTACTACCCTTGTTAAGCTAACTGGTCTATAGTTTTTGGCTTGCCTTTTTTTTTCTTTTTTTTTTAAATAAGTGTGATATTTGCCCCTCTCCAAGACTCTTGTAAGTACCCTTCCTGTATATGTATTTGTTCTTTCGCACATTGATCTACTTCCAAGTTGCCTACATCCGTTTCTAGACTTGGAATGTTTGCCACTTTTTCCTCATACTCCCTAACTCCTTTCCTGTGTGCTATTGTTGCTCTATTTCTTGCTAACCTGTAGTGTTTGTAATTTTCAGGAGTTTTATTTCCTCAGTATTGTTGCCACATTTTCCTTTCATGTTTTAATTCATCTAATACTTGTTTGTTCATCCAAGGTTTGCATGCTCAGGTTTTGGAATTTGTTGCCACTGGTACATTTCTCTCGATACTATTTAATAACTTGTCGACAAAAAATTCCAATGCCTCGAGTTCCAAAGTCCTTGAGGATGTTTTCCCAACCAATAGACGATAATTCCACACTCATTTGGTCAAAATGTCCTCTGTAATAATTGTATTTTAGTTGAAAGAATATATAACGCCGTTTTTATACTCCAAGCATAAAAGAACTTTGTGTTTTTATTTTACTTTATTCCCCATCTGAGTAATAAAACTGTTACTGTAAACGGGTAACTGTTACCCAAATGTAGGATTATTACCCATATGCGCCGTTGTGCCCAACCTGTTAGGAACTCGAGAAGTAACTATTTCAGTATTTGATGCATAAGTTTGACCGCCTCGAGTAGGTCCTGGTTCCCAGCTTCAAATTCCGGATAGATGTCTTAAGAAGTATGTATATAATTATAAGAACAGATTGATTTATCAGTTTGTCAGGTATGAATTTCTGAAGATTTATCTTTTGAGTTTAGTATGCTCCGCCTATGTTTTTTACCGGTATGGTATGTGCATGTTACACGATGGGGAAGAGAAAGTACAGCTGAAATCAATAAATCAGAAGATCTATCTACCAAATACTTACCAGTTCCTTCACTGGAACAACACTTAAATTGTTCAAACTGAGGTCCAGCTCATTTCCCTCCAATTTATCACGCAAGTTGTTTTCTTTCGGCATTCTGGATAGTACTGTTTCTGAGGATTATGACACCGGAAGTACGTGTCAGTTACGCAGTGAATATTAAAAAAACTTGTATGAATATATCGATATCCTTGCCGTAGTTGCGTATTTTCTTTAGCACAGGGGCTTGTCGCTGTCGTTAGGCCTTATTTATTATTGTTATGATTTTGCTGGAATTTGATTGAAAATTGTGGTAAATGTGATAATATAGGTTGCTTAAAAAAGAGACGTATATATTACAGAGATTGGCAACTTGCACTTTACCTTACCATTGGTCACGGTAACATATAATTCAAAACATAATTATGCCATGAGAAAACATCGAAAATCAACGTAATAAACACGTAGCTAGCTGAGATTTTGCATGCGGTTTGGAGGTGCTTACATTGAATGTAAACTTAAATGATTAAGTTTAGAAAACATCGAAAGATTGCACATCGATCGATCCTGTCTTCGGGAGAACACAAACTCCGTAATGAAAAAAAAATTAACCAGGTTTTCAAAATGAGGTTGTTACGATATTTGCAAAACTCCATAATTTAGCTCTGAAAATACGGGTTATTTTAAGAATAAACAAGTTAAATGGCGGCTTTGACGTGTGAGGGATTTATCTTTCATGACACATTTTAAAAAACACGAACTCCTTTCTAATTCATTATTTAATTTCAAAAATATCTTCTGATATTTATTCAAACATTATGTTTCCAGCCAGCTTTTTCAAATAAGGTTTTAACAATACTTGCAAAGTTTGCTAATTCAGGGACGTATAGTGATACTGTCCCTGGATAATTGAGCTCTGAAAATACACTTGAAAATATATACAAGTTAAAAGGCGGCCGTGATGTGCGAGGGTTAGTTCCTTTCATGACACCGGCACTATATCTCGTTCATTATTTTATTTCAAAAACGTATTAAGATATTACTTAATATTTCTGGTTCTATATATGAGCAATATATATAGGATATGTGACATGTTGACACGAACAGGTAACACACTGACCAGACTATCGTCACCATCTGTGGATCGATATCATTATTCTACTTCGATATGTGCTTTATTTTTAGCTGTCAAAACAATCACTCCAGATCATGATCAGGTTCCACGTGATTGCGCAACCGCAACCCAAGTCTCGCGGCGTTTCTATCTATCTATCTATCTATCTATCTACCGGTAATGACCAACTTCAATTGACTGAAGAAATGTCATGTGGATGTATTACATAGATTTAAAAAAAAATATTTACAAAAAATTGTGATTACAAAAATTATAATGATATATATACAATGAGTTAAAAGTAGTAGTGTTTTTTTGTTTTTTTTTGAAGTGCCGTTTTGAAAGAGTCCACTGTGTCGGATATGACTGAATCTAGTAGGGTGTTCCATTCTTTTATTGTTTTCGGGAAGAAAGACTGTTTTCTGTATTCTGATCTGCACTGTGGGAATTGGAAACTGTTGGAATTGTTATGTCTTGTTTGCCAGCTGCTGTGTGGTATTAAACGGTTGGAGTGTGGAATTGCAACCTGGTTGTTAATTATTTTATACAGCATTGTAAGACGAGCGTTTTTTCTCCTGAGGGATATTGGCTCCGACTCAAGATGGTGGAGCATGTCAGTGACACTAGATTTCTGCGTGAGTTGCCAATCGTCTCTGCTTAAAATAAGTGTTTCTAAGGTAAAATATAAAACAATTTTACTTCGTGATAAGTGAAATAATATTTGAAGGAATTCATAAGGGGATTGCCGGGGGCAAGTTCGTTTTCCTCAAATTCCTGGTGCCCTTCTCACGTACAAAGACCTTCCAGACATCCTACTACCCTAGGCCTGACACCATCCGATTGTGGAACACACTCCCGGAATCACTCGCAGAATGTGTCTCCCTTGACATATACCGCGGGTGATCCTCAGATAGGCTGGAATAGCTCCGTGCGTCCTTGGTTAATATATATTTTCTCGGGTCGATAAATCCAGGTCTTCACCGAAGTTAAAAGCTACAATTGTTTTATTATTTTACAAAACAGTAATGTAAGCAATCTGAAAAAAAAACACAACAAAAAAGCTTTGGAAGTGGGACGGTGCATTGTTTGGAGACACGTCATAACTTTATTTTTAGAAACACTCAGTCCTTTAACAAAATCACGCGCTCCAAGTCAATATCGGTTTTTATCGGTGGACACGTGATGCACTCCTGGCCAATCACTTGTCGGGAATAATATGAAAAAAATAATGAGATAATATATAAATATTGCAAGCCGTTCTCCCCTGGTATTTGGGGTCTTCTTCTTCTTCCAGTAAAGTGAAGACCGTCTCTGACGTATTATCGCACTAGGTACTATGTGCATGCCCACACAGGAACACGGGTATTTATATGTGATAAAAATGACTATGTTTATTATTTTTTCATATTATTTCCGACAAATGATTGGCCAGGAGTGCATCACGTGTCCACCGATAAAAACCGATATTGACTTGGAGCGCGTGATTTTTGTTGAAGGACAGGGTGTTTCTAAAAATAGAATTATGACGTGTTTTCCAAACAACGCGCCATCCCGCTTCTGAAGCTTTTTTTGTCGTGTCCTTTTTTCAGATTACTAACAGTACTGTTTTGAAAATAATAAACCAATTGTAGCATTTAACTTCGGTCGATACCTGGATTTATCGACCCGAGAAAAGAAATATTAACCTCGGACTGCGTCCTCGGTTAATATATCTTTTCTCGGGTTGATAAATCCAGGTATTGACCTCAGTCAAAGGCTATAATTGAATAATGTACTTAATCAATATTATGCCGAAAGCATTTCGCCCGCCCACATCAGTACGGACCATACCATGATGTCACCGTATGAATCTTGGACATTTTCAATTTATGTATTTTACCCATTTCGGTCGATCATTTCTGAGCGTACTTTTAAAAAGTTCTTCCAAGAATTGTACGACCCCAAACCCTAGTATCAAAGGATATATCAAACCTTGATGGCGGCCTGGAATGCTTCTTAGAATAAGAATAACACCTGGAGTAGGAGGATACATGATTACATATAAGCGTATCATTGGTATTTTATTTTTTTCCAATCAACCGCCGTCTATGAAAACACCTCAAAAATAAAAGTGGCATCGGTATTTTTTATCGTACTTTCTTTTCCCTCCAACCACTGTGTATGAAAAACATCTGGTAGGATACTAGTACTAATATTAATACCCGACCTCCTTTGCCCCGACGTTATATAAAAAACTGACATCGTCAGAAAGCTATGTTATCGCAGCTAGTACTGAGTAGTAGGATACGTGTGTCTCTTATCCTCCTGTGTATGACAGAGCTGTCCAGGGTAAGATTTTCTATCTTACATCCCGTTTCACGTACATGCTGTCACAATGGGACAATAATGGCGTGACGTCACGAAATAAGAACATTCCGATGGCTATTTCGGCGCTATTTTGTGCCAAACCAACGTCGTGATTGATGGCGGCTATCTTGCCTTTGACAAGTGACACCATGCCCCTATAAGAATTGTTGTACCAGCTTTTCCCTTAAGGCTTTACACGATTTTATAATTTGAAGTAGATCTATACCTACTATACTATACGTCTTTCTGCTCTTTCCAAATATGGCATTAGTTTGTGTATGCGTTACTCTGGTAACTTTGCCATATTCAGTTTTGCGTTTGCATTTTGGCTTAAAGCAAAACTTGTTTATATATTAGACTTATAGTAGCTGTCCAAATTGTGTGTCTGATATTTTTTTTATTTTTAAATATTAAGCTATTGTAGTATAAATTACCATGTGAAAATGAGAAGTTTTCAGCAAATTTAAACTTCTTGTTAAAAAACCCAGTGGAATGTTGGCTGGCTAATGGCTAAATTGTTAATGTACATTTTGTACCACAGATAGGCACGTAAACGAACTTAACCAAACTATAAGTTACATCTGTAGGAAGACAGAAGTCAATATGTGTGTCGGTCTTGAAAAGAGATTGAAAGTGTCTCATCCAATCATAGCCATATTGAATTTGCCCAAAATACGGAGCACCTGCACAAAGATTAGGGTCAATAGCTGTTGCAGTTCTTCAGCAAATCGGAGCCCAGAGTGGCAATTTTGGGTTTCTGATTGTCCAGAAAAAAACCTTTTCCGTCAGTAAGGACAATCAGTAAATCATCCCGAAGTTTCAGTGGAATCGGCCCATTGGAACATGACTTTTAAGTTTGAAATAGGTTTTCAAAAACGCGGCTTGGTAAAGGCAACGACTGGTTCACCCCATGTCAGTTTAATGTGACCGGGTGAACAACGTGTCAATTATTTTTTCATGTCTTAAAATGTAAGGTGTCATCTGCTGAACTTAAGTGATGTCTGTTGTACTTACAAAAAATACAAAACTTTGTCAGGTTGATGTCGGTAACATTCCCTTAAAATTATCAAAGCAACCCCTTCAACAGCATCTCACTTTAAGCTGAAAATAAAACAAATGTTTGAATATGGATGCAATAAGTCAACCAAGCCAATCTGAAACCAGCCTTTGGATCATGGACCCTATAATAAAACAAGAGGCCCACTGGACCTGCATCGCTCACCTGGTACTATTATCACAATTGTAACTATAAAAGAGGACTAAAATAAAGCTACAGGCAAAATAACGGTATCTTGACTTAAAGTCATTCAGAAGAACCTGTTAAAGGATTAAAACACATCTAACCCATGTGACCTTGAAAGTCAAACATGGACATTAAGTTGAAAAAGCATTTTATCCCTTCATCTCAGAATGCAACTTGCCAAATACCAACACCCTATAACTTTTGTTTATTGAGAAGATGACTTTTAAAGATTTATGCACTCTTGACCAGATGTGACCATGAAAGTGTGTCAAGGTCATTCACATCTACAAGCAAATCACCCTGTACACTTTACTTATTTAGAAGAAGCCGTTTGAAGATTTCAGCATATGTTATCCCTGTGACCTTGAATATGGGCAAAGGTCATTAATTTGATTAAGCCCTTTATCCCTGCATACTATTGGCCAAATATCATCACCCTGGACCTTTTGGTAATTCTTCAGAAGTAGTTTAAAGGTTTACAAGACAAGTGACCCCTGTAACCTTGAATATGAATGAAGGTCATTCATTACAACAAATTTGGTAGCCCTTAATGCCAACATCCTTCTGGCCAAATATCATCACCCTTGACCTTTTGGTTATACAGAAGAAGTTGTTTTAAGGTCATAAAGACAATTTACCCCTGTGACATTGAATATGAGTGAAGGTCATTCATTTGAACAAACTTGGTAGCACTTCATGCCAACATCCTTCTGGCCATATATCATCACCCTGGACATTTTGGTCAAACAGAAGAAGTCATTTAACATTTTTTATGACAATTGACCCCTGTGACCTTAACTATAGGCAAAGGTCATTCATTTGAACAAACTTGGTAGCACTTCATGCCAACATCCTTCTGGCCATATATCATCACCCTGGACATTTTGGTCAAACAGAAGTCATTTAACATTTTTTATGACAATTGACCCCTGTGACCTTAACTATAGGCAAAGGTCATTCATTTGAACAAACTTGGTAGCCCTTCATCCCTACATGCTACTGGCCAAATACCATCACCCTCAAGCTTTTGGTTATACAGAGGAACTTGTTTAAAGGTTTTTAAGACAATTGACCACTGTGACCTTGAATATGGGCAAAAGTCATTCATTTGAACAAACTTGATAACCCTTCATCCCAACATCTTTCTGCCCAAATATACAGAAGAAATCGTTTAAAGGTTTTTAAGTCAATTGACCCCTGTGACCTTGAAAAGGTCATTCATTTGAACAAACTTAGTAGCTCTTCATCCCTTCATGCTACTGATTGAATATCAACACCCTAGGCCTCTTGGTTATTTAGAAGTTGTTTAAAAGTTTAAAGATATTTGACCCCCCCCAACCTGTGACCTTGAATATAAGAGAAGGTCATTCATTTGAACAAACATGGTAGTGCTTCATCCCAGCATGTTATTGACCAAATATCATCAACCTGGGCCTTCTGGTTATTCAACAGAAGCTGTTTAAAGATTTTAACATATTTGACCCCCGTGACCTTGAAAATGGGCAAAGGTCATTCATTTGAACAAACTTGGTAGCCCTTTATCCCAGCATGCTACTGGCCAAATATCATCAGCCTGGGCCTTTTGATTATTCAGAAGAAGTTGTTTCAAGTAAAAAGTTGATGACGGACGGACGGACGAGGGACGTTGCACCATATGGCATAAGCTCGGTCTGGGTGAGATAAAAAAGACTGACCAATTTTATTGGTATTTATCAGACATTTATTTTGTTCCAATAATGTTTATCATAAATTCTATAACAGGAGTCCTTTACCTGCAAACTCAATGACATTATCAATCCACTGACAACAAAACTTGAGGTTCAGTCCTCGGGACCTCCTTCAGTTACAATCTCAATCAACCTTCAGGTGAGAAACATTGGAAATTGTTTAATTAATTTTACTTAAATTCGTCTTTGTTTCAAACGACATCAAAACATCTTTCAAAAAAAATGTCGCTTTCATTATTCAGAAATTCCCATTTTACCAACACATAATTTTAAGAATTAAGTGTAGCAGTTATTTTAGGAATCCATGCATCACTGCAAACGAAACACTTGCGAATTTCACAGTATTTTTTTTTGCACATACAGTAACCTTCCCTTAATTTCGTTTTGGTTATAACTGTAGCGCTACTTGGTTATACATTTGACCAGGCAACTCATTTGGTTAAGAGCAACATTATTATATAATCAGAAGCCCAATGTTCAAATCCTGGTCATGCCCCCTGGCATTATACTTCTTGGAACACAGCTGTTTGTTGATTTTGTTTTGTTTCATGGAATCTTTATTTCATTTTTCAAATAAGTTTTGAAACATGTTATCAAATCTATAGTCATGCTGGAGCAGTGGTACAGAATCCTCAAATATATTGGTAGAGAAACCATGAAAGCATTGAATATGATACATAGTACATAGTGACAAGCTACAACTGTATGTTGTTCAGCAGTCAACAGTTACATTGTTCCTTAACACTCTGGATTTATTTTATAAATTTTCTCATTACCCATTGAGTTATCAACTTACTGGTATAATTTAAAAGCAGAAATACAATGAATCATTGCCTACACTCTTCCATTTCTGGTGTCGAAAAGAAGACTTTTGAAATTTGAATCAATTTGACACCTTTTGGCCCTGCCCATCAGCCAGGGTCAATATGTGCATACCATCAAACTGTCATACAGTACTAATAGTTACAATGTACCTTAAGCTTGATGACAAAGAAATTTAAAACCACAGGGGTAATATCATACAACACATGAGGTGTGCCTATTGTTTATACCAAATTACCATATATGTAATTCTGAGGTCAGAACGGAAGTTCCAAAAGTTTCCTCCAAGTATATGCAAGTTTAAATAATATTTCCATATGAACATTTAGATAAGTTCTTTCTCACATAATCAGTTTCACCATGACGGTCCTTTTTCAAATGTCATGATACACAATGACTTTTTTATACAGATTTCTGGTTAGTCTTTAATTGTTTTTCCGTCTTGTGTTGTTAAATCACTATACACAAAATGTCCAGATCATTTCAGTGTTTTTTCTTCTTGTGTTCTACATCATGCCCAGCTTCCCCTGTTTTTCTTTTCTGTAAAATATTCTGGATCTTCTGCCATTGTCTGTCTAGCTGAGCCTTCTCATCCTTTGGTCCAGCTCGTCTCGTCTTTCGGCCATCTGCCATTTTGACCCCATACTGGAAAGCAGCCCTGAAAACAACACAAATATGAAGTCAAGCTAGCAAAAAATAATATTACACAATGATAATTCTTTTGAGTCTGACAAGAATTATGATAGAGTGAAAATTGTCTAATTTGACCACTTGGTCTTGTCTTATTTGTAATGAAACTACTAAATAAGATAGGTGTAGTCCGACACCTGTCAAACCTGACAAATATGTTGTGTCCCATAGGGCATCAGATTATAAAGGTTTGTGTCCCACAGGGCATCAGATTATAAAGGTTTGTGTCCCATAGGGCATCAGATTATAAAGGTTTGTGTCCCACAGGGCATCAGATTATAAAGGTTTGTGTCCCATAGGGCATCAGATTATAAAGGTTTGTGTCCCACAGGGCATCAGATTATAAAGGTTTGTGTCCCACAGGGCATCAGATTATAAAGGTTTGTGTCCCACAGGGCATCAGATTATAAAGGTTTGTGTCCCACAGGGCATCAGATTATAAAGGTTTGTGTCCCACAGGGCATCAGATTATAAAGGTTTGTGTCCCACAGGGCATCAGATTATAAAGGTTTGTGTCCCACAGGGCATCAGATTATAAAGGTTTGTGTCCCACAGGGCATCAGATTATAAAGGTTTGTGTCCCACAGGGCATCAGATTATAAAGGTTTGTGTCCCACAGGGCATCAGATTATAAAGGTTTGTGTCCCATAGGGCATCAGATTATAAAGGTTTGTGTCCCATAGGGCATCAGATTATAAAGGTTTGTGTCCCATAGGGCATCAGATTATAAAGGTTTGTGTCCCATAGGGCATCAGATTATAAAGGTTTGTGTCCCATAGGGCATCAGATTATAAAGGTTTGTGTCCCATAGGGCATCAGATTATAAAGGTTTGTGTCCCATAGGGCATCAGATTATAAAGGTTTGTGTCCCATAGGGCATCAGATTATAAAGGTTTGTGTCCCATAGGGCATCAGATAATAAAGATTTCAATGTATTTAGTATTACGCCCTCATTTTAAAAAAGAAATTGTGTCTAAATAACACCATCAGTATTGCCCGACAGAAAATAACATTTCAAATTCTGTTTGATAGTTGTCGGCAGAATCATTTGATCTTTATTCAGTTAGAAGTGGTTTTTTTTGCAACTGTTCAATAGTTTTAGAATAGGGCTCTACTATTGTCATTATATAAAGGCAATAGTTGTTAGTTAACTTCAAAATTGAATAAGATATTAAATAAATAGGAGTATTGTTTGAATAATTGTTTTTATACTCCAGGAATGTCATTTAAAAAAATCCTATTAGAAGAAAGAATGGATCGGATTGATACTTCCACAATTTTACATCATCATAGAAATATCTTTAATTGTTAATTTCTTGAATTCCTATATGTAGTGACAATAACCCTATACACTGTGTTAACATACTTGGGGAGGGCCTCTTTGTTGGCCATGTAGTCGCTATACTCTTCCTGGGTGTCAAAGTCCCAGCGCCCAATGGGTCCCTTCTTGTTTCCCTGGTCCATCTTACTGTAGTCAACCTCGTCGTCAGAGTCACCAAACGCATCTGCTGCTTCCTCCATGCTGGATAATAAATAGCATCATGTATAATTTTCATGTCATTATTACAGCTTCCTCCATGCTGGATAATAAAATAGCACCATGTATAATTTTCATATCATTATTACAGCTTCCTCCATGCTGGATAATAAATAGCATCACCCTAGATAATAAATAGCATGATGTTTAAATTTCATGTCATTATTACAGCTTCCTTCATGCTGGATAATAAATAGCATCATCTTAGATAATAAATAGCATCATGTTTAGTTTTCATGTCATTATTACAGCTTCCTCAATGCTGGATAATAAATAGCATCATCCTAAATAATAAATAGCATCATTTTTAATTTTCATGTCATTATTACAGCTTCATCCATCCTGGATAATAAATAGCATCATGCATAATGTTCATGTCATTATTACAGCTTCCTCCATGCTGGATAATAAATACCATCATTCTAGATAATAAATAGCATCATGTTTAATTTTTATGTCATTATTACAGCTTCCTCCATTCTGGATAATAAATAGCATCATGTATCATTTTCATGTCATTATTACAGCTTCCTTCATGCTGGATAATAAATAGCATCATCCTAAATAATAAATAGCATCATTTTTAATTTTCATTTCATTATTACAGCTTCCTCCATGCTGGATAATAAATACCATCATTCTAGATAATAAATAGCATCATGTTTACTTTTCATGTCATTATTACAGCTTCCTTCATGCTGGATAATAAATAGCATCATCTTAGATAATAAATAGCATCATGTTTAATATTCATGTCATTATTACAGCTTCCTCAATGCTGGATAATAAAATAGCACCATGTATAATTTTCATATCATTATTGCAGCTTCCTCCATGCTGGATAATAAATACCATCATCCTAGATAATAAATAGCATTATGTTTAATTTTCATGTCATTATTACAGCGTCCTCCATGCTGGATAATAAAATAGCCCCATGTATAATTTTCATATCATTATTACAGCTTCCTCCATGCTGGATAATAAATAGCATCACCCTAGATAATAAATAGCATCATGTTGAATTTTCATGTCATTATTACAGCTTCATCCATCCTGGATAATAAATAGCATCATGCATAATGTTCATGTCATTATTACAGCTTCCTCCATCCTGGATAACAAATAGCATCATGTATAATTTTCATATCATTATTACAGCTTCCTTCATGCTGGATAATAAATAGCATCATGTATAATTTTCATGGCATTATTACAGCTTCCTCCATGCTGGATAATAAAATAGCGCCATGTATAATTTTCATATCATTATTGCAGCTTCCTCCATGCTGGATAATAAAATAGCGCCATGTATAATTTTCATATCATTATTACAGCTTCCTCCGTGCTGGATAATAAATAGCATCATGTATAATTTTCATATCATTATTACAGCTTCCTCCGTGCTGGATAATAAATAGCATCATGTATAATTTTCATGGCATTATTACAGCTTCCTCCATGCTGAATAATAAATAGCATCATCCTAGATAATAAATAGCCTCATGCATCATTTTCATGTCATTATTACAGCTTCATCCATCCTGGATAATAAATAGCATCATGTTTAATATTCATGTCATTATTACAGCTTCCTCAATGCTGGATAATAAATAGCATCATGTATCATTTTCATGTCATTATTACAGCTTCATCCATCCTGGATAATAAATAGCATCATGAATAATTTTCATGTCATTATTACAGATTCCTCCATCCTGGATAAGAAATAGCATCATGTATAATTTTCATGTCCTTATTACAGATTCCTCCATCCTGGAGAATAAATAGCAGCATGTATAATTTTCATGTCATTATTACAGCTTCCTCCATCCTGGATAATAAATAACATTATTTATCATTTTCATGTCATTATTACAGCTTCCTCCATTCTGGATAATAAATAGCATCATGTATAATTTTCATGTCATTATTACAGCTTCCTCCATGCTGGATAATAAATAGCATCATCCTAGATAATAAAAAGCATCATGCATAATTTTCATGTCATTATTACAGCTTCCTCCATCCTGGATAATAAATAACATCATTTATCATTTTCATGTCATTATTACAGCTTCCTCCATCCTGGATAATTAATAGCATCATTTATCATTTTCATGTCATTATTACAGCTTCCTCCATTCTGAAATCATACAACTGTTTGCAATTTCATATGAGGGCATTTGGTATTTTTAGGATACAGACTTGGATTAAAACTGAGAAAAACTACGGACATAATTCTACAAGAGGCCCATGGGACAGGCATTACTCACCTTACAGTTATTGTTGGGTTGGTTATTAGCTTTTATAATACATGTAACACATTTGTCCATGGCCTTGTATTCAGTCATGGTCAATCATTCGAAGAAACAGAATAACCCTTCACCAACACATTTTTCTTTTTTATTTAAATCTAAAGTTAATGAATAAATGAATGACCCAAGAATTCATTGCTCAAAATATATTTTCAAAAAGGTAATAAGAAATAACGAGTCTAACCACAAATTCAGATATTTTACAAGGGCTGTCTGAAAAGAGAATTTAAATACCTTCAAATTCATATGACAGAATATGCAAACTTACCCAGGATAACACTCTGCATAACTGTCCACTCCGACTTTTGCCTTCAACTTCTTCATCCACGACTCAGCATTCTTTGCATCAGCCCTGTGAACATGCCAAACAAAAATGATGTGAAAAAAGGAAAAGAATTTGTAAAGTTGTCAAGTTGAAATAATGTATTTAATATTTCTTCAAATTCACTGTAACATCAAGATATGATTGGGAATTTTATTAATTTTGACAGGCATGTAAAACACAACTTACGATGCTTTTTCCTCCTCAATTTCAGCATAACTCTGTAATGAAAAATAAACATTGCGTGTAGTAGGTTGTCTATAGAAAATGTGAAAGTGAAATTTGACATTTTAAAGGTACAAAAATCATGCACTGTATATATATATAGTATACTGCATAGTGGAACATTTTTCGCTGCTGTTTACCTTTAGTGTTTTTCATCCTCCGTAATGGAGGCAAAATTATCACTACAGTGAAAACAAAAGATCCCAGAGGGATCTTGGCGCCCACCTTTGTACCATCTTCATTAGTTCTTTGTCAGTTCGATCTTTTCTCTTCTTTCCTCTAATCTGTTTGATCGAGTCATGTCAACAGTAAATGCACCTTGAGGTAACTTTTGATCTAAACTTAATACTGATGTGTATGAAAGCCAACCTTCAAAGTGAGTTTGTCATTTCACATATTTACTAGTACTGTACTTAATGTGAAAGAAATAGAATCGATCATTGCAATATGAGAAAGATCTGTTTAGTTCTTCTTTTAATCCATTTT